ATGATATTTGGATTCACAAAGCGTTGATTAAAGATCTTGAAGGAATGATGGCTATACACAAAATGCACAAAATTAAAGAAGTTCACGTTTTTTATAATAAACTTTCAAGAACAGTGCGAACATTAAAAACGATAAACAAACTACAAACTGCTCAATCACTTGTGTATTCATTAATGGATAAACTTTGACCGGTTCGTGGAATACTCACACAAAACGATGATGGATGAGAAGAATGGGGACTAGAGCAGCTTGTCGAAAAGTTACAAAAACACATAGAAATAAATCCATTGAACTCCGATTTCAACACTGAACAAATAAAATACGATAAAAAGAACCTAAACGTACAGCCAAGGTTTTATAAAAACCAAATTAGTGCATTCAAGCAACACAATAGTGGTAATTAAGATAAATCATTGATGACAAGTGTTGGTAAAAATGAATGTATCTACTGTGAGTTACAAAATCACAAAAGCGAAGATTGTATAAAAGTGTTAAACGTTGCTAGACGCAAGGAGATTTAAAAAAAAAAGATTATGTTACAACTGCATTGGTTATGGATATTCCGCGGCAAATTGTCAATCAAGAGGATGCAGAAAGTGTAATAAAAAACATCACACGTCAATTTGTCAAAACTTAAGTGCAACAATGGACGATATAAAGGAAAATAAAAAAGAAACCATGGGAATGGTGTTTAATGCGAGTACAACTGTTCACCCGACAGTAATGGCAAAGGTAAATGGTGAAAAAGAAAGGATAATGTTGAATACGGGTGCTAGAAGTTTTTATATATGTACAAACTTGATAACAAAACTGAAGTTGAAACCTACACAAAGGGAACATAAAACCATCTAACAACTATATGGATCGGTAAACAAACGTTCGTAAATATATAATGTTACGCTAGAATCAATAACAATACCGGAAATTCACATCAAAATTGAATGCATCAACGCAGAAAAGGAAATACTGACCTTCTTACCCAATCCAATAATCAAGGAGGTAAAAAAGCGATTTGCTAGACTTAGGAGACTGAAACTTAGCAATTATGGAGAAGACGATGAAATACAAATTGTTCACATAATACTTGGTGCTGCTGATTATCAACGAATAAAAACTACCGAACCGATAGTTCTCGGAAAAAATCAGGATAAAGATCACGGAGCTGAATTGACTATGTTTGAATAAACTCTCTCTGGGAGACAAATGGAATTAATTTCTAGTATTGAAAAGGGTTTTTTAGTTGGTCGTGATGTGACGTGAAACACTGGTCGTGATGAGTTCGAGCAAATATGTAGTCTTGAAGTACTTGGATTGTCAGACACAAACAATGAATTAATGTTTCACCAAGACTTTAGCGAAAAGCTACACCAAACAAACGAAGGTTATTATGAAACTAGAATGCCTTTGGAAAAAAGATTGTTAAAGGTTGTTAAACTGCCGAACAACAGGGATCTGGCAATTAAAAGATTAAAAAGTACAACAAATCGATTATAAAAACCTAACAAACTAGAGCAGTATAATGAAATAATGATGGAACAGATCAGTAAGGGAATACTGAAAAAAGTGCCAGAAAAACCTACGGGAGAAATTGTTCATTACATTCCTCATCAAGCTGTAATCAAGGAAAATGCTGAGTCAACAAAAATGCGAGTTGTTTATGATTGTTCAGCAATAAAAGATGCTCAATCACCTTTATTGAATGATTGTCTAGAAGTGGGACCTTTGCTGCAACCCCTAATATTTGACATTCTAATACGAAATCGGATGAACAAACTCTGCGTTTTAGCTGACATTAAGAAACCATTTTTACAAATTTGAACTCAAGATATGAATAGAGACGCACAACGAATAATTTGGTATGAAGACAAAGAAAATGAAATTAATGGAGTTACGATTTACAAGAGTAATTTTTGGATCCAGTTCAAGTCCTTACATTTTCGGCGCTACGATTAAAAAACATATATCAAAATACAAGGATATTTATCCAAAGACAGTAGTTGCCTTGGAAAAAGATACTTATGTCGACGATCTGCAAGCGGGTGGAGAAACGGAAGAAGAACTTATCAGGTTTAAATATGAATCAACACAAATCTTGAACGAAGCTAGTTTTCAATTGCACAAATGGCATAGCACCGTGAGAAAATTGGAAAATAATGTTGAAGACTAATCAACAAAAAGACTTAAACAACCTTGGAACAAGGTAACAGATCAATTGTCAATTGAATTCACTACTTGCATCAATAACTGAAATGAAAAAAATTTAACAAAAAGGAAAATTCTATTTGCAATCAACAGTGTTTTTGACGTGGGATTTAGTGCACCTGTGTTAATCACTTGAAAAATACTGTATAGTCAACTATGCTCATTAAAAATTGGATGGGATCATCAAATAACGAAGGAACTTTTGGAAGAATGGCAAACTTGGATTAAGGCAAAAAGCAACTAAAGAACTATATTGATTCCTCGGTGTGTTGTGTTCGGAAGAACTATTGAACTAGAGCTCCACGGATTCTCAGATGCAAGTAAATTAGCGGTATGTGCATGCATCTATGTTTTAACGAGCTACTAAAATTCGAAAACGAGCAATTTACTTGTAGCGAAAGCACGGATTGCACCAAAGGATCTAAGTATTCCAAGACTCGAGCTAGTAGCTGCACATACTTAAGGTATGTTGATGAACCATGTTGATGAACCATGTCTGGAAAACATCAGTCAAGTGTAACATTAGTAAAGTTTTTAATTGGGTTGACAGCACTGTTGTACTATACTGGTTGAAGGAAAGAGGCAGTTGGTCACAGTTTGTAAGAAACCGAGTTCAGCAAATCTTATTAAATAAGAAGTAAAATGGCTTTAAATAGAGAAGTAAAATGTCCCGACAAAAGATAACCCAAGCGATCTAGGAACAAGAGGAGTGAGTCCAAAAAAGTTGTCAAGCTTGTGGTTTAATGGTCCAATATGGTTAAATCATAAAGAAAATTGGCCAAACCAATTGGAAATATTTGATAACTCATATGGCACATTATGTGAAAGTATTGCTCTAAAGGAGAACGTCTGAATGGTAACAGAAGAAATAAAGGAAAATCGCACTTTTGAAGAATTGTGGAATAAATATAATTATTGGAAGATTTTAAGGATATCGTCGCTTATAAAAAGGTTCATTTTCAATTGTCGCAATAAAGAAAAAATAGTCGGACCAATAAAAACGGAAAAGATGATAGAAGCCGAAACGGTCAATATTAAACATCTACAAGGATCGGTTGTGCTAAAAGCCGATGTGAAACTTAAACAGGATGAAAAGAACCTTTGGAGGTATCATGGAAGAGTTACCGGGTATAATCCAATATTTATACCAAAAGGGTTCTTATTAACTCAACGAATTATTGAGCACCATCACACCAAGACCTTACACGGAGGAGTTAGAGATATGGGTAGCATAAGAGAAAGATTCTTGATACCGAATTTGAGAGTGGCCGTTAAAAAAGTTATTTGTGGTTGCAATTTGTGTAAAAGGTACAGAGTGAAGCCTCTGTTACCACCAACAAAAGCAATGTTACTACGCTTTGGAACTGACAATGTTGAACCATTTGCGGTTAGTGGTGTTGATTTTGCCGGACCGCTAAAGTATAAAATAACAAAAAATTAGATTAGAAATTGCTACATTGCACTGTTTACATGCGCAAGCACAAGAGCCGTCTATCTTAAACTTTGTCATGACCTATCAGCAGTAGAATTTCAGAGGGTTTTAAAAGAGTGTGGTGCTAGGAAAGGGCCACCTCAGATGATAATCAGTGACAATGCAAAAACATTTGTAGCAACAAGGAAGTGGTTACTTACACTTAAAAACAACGAGAATATTGCCAATTATCTTGCTACACAAGCTTTAAAATGGAGATTTAATCTATCAAGAGCCCCTTGGTGAGAAGGTTTACTTGAAAGATTAATTGGAATAATGAAGAAAAGCTTATCTAAAACTATCGGTAAAGAGATGCTTAGCTTCAATGAATTAAAGGAAGTATTGTTGGATGTTGAGTGCTCAATGAACAATAGACCACTTTGTTATCAAGGTGACCAGTCCGACAATCAAGTACTGACACCAAACGTATTAATGAGGGGAAAATCTGCAATATTGCTTGAAGAAGATATTGTTTTAATTACAAAAGAGGAATGTGCAATACGGAGAGCCAAGTTTATGAAAAACTGTAAAACTCATCTGAGAAAAAGATGGATAAACGAATATGTACATGCAATGGAAGAACGACAGCAAGTAAGGAATAAGGGAAGTAACATAAAACCGCCAGTTATTGGAAGCGTGGTGCTTATTAAAGAGGATGTAAAAAACATAGCACTTCTAAATATTGGACTAGTTGAAAGCAAAATCAAAGGAAAAGATGGAGTTACGCGTGGCCTAAAAATACGATTGGGGAACGTTTATGTAATTGAACAACCAATTCAACTGGTGTGTGACCTGGATATCGATTTTGAGGCCGAGAAAATGGTTGAATCTAAAAAGAACGTGGAAATTGGTAAAAAAGTTGAAACCCTAAAAAATGTACCGAGACGGGCGAAATTAGATGCAAGACAAAAAAAATTAGTTGCATCATAAACGGATTAAAGCCGAAGTCTCAGCTTTAATCGGGGGAGTGTGTTGTGGATTACGTCTTCCAAGATAAGTAACAAAAATCAGCAGTTATATCTTAATATAAGCATTAATATATTTGTAATGATGCGGTCTTCTTAAAGATATTGGAAAATTACGCCAACGTAATTTTAATATAATATTTTGTGGTTTTGAATTTTATATAAAAAATGGATGATATTTGTAAATAATAGATTCGCAGTCATATGTAAATAAAACAGTTATAAACAAACAAGTGAATTCATTAGTGTCACTGGTAAACGTATATATATATATATATATATATATATATATATATATATATATATATATATATATATATATATATATATATATATATATATATATATCTGCATTAAATTACCTGTATTAACTACTTCACAATTGAAATATGACATCACAGAATATCCTAACATTATTGCAACATCAAATTGATCTGTAAAGATAAAATTTACCAATATTGCCAAAGTAAATAACGCCCATAATTTGAAAAATTTCATAGAGTTTTTGTAAAAGTATTTTTTTGTGAGTGGCTTTTTTTTAACATTTATTAAATGTTTTCTTGGAAAACTTAATTCATAAATAATTAGTCAACATCCGGTGGAAAAACAATGGAAATGTTTTTCCACCGGAAATGGCAAAACACAAATTAATACATACCCAGTTGACAATAATTATATCCTTTTGGAAAACATTCGTTAAAATGTTTTATTTCAAAAGTTCTTTCTTTTTTTCTTGCTTCTTTTATAATTTCATTAGCAATCTTTTCCCCACCATTTGACAAACGATGTGGAAATATTATAACTAACGTTTTGTTATTAGTTTTTTCACATTCACTTATACAGTTTTCTTCTTCTTGGAGTTCTTGTTTTATTCGACTTTGAACATATTCACATGATGCAGGTAATGGTATTATTTTATGTGAACCAAGATAATGCTGTTGATACATTACATCATAAAGAATACCACCAGCCATAATGACATCAGGATTATATCGTACAGCATCATACAATTCTTTTTGTAACTCAATCATATCTTCGTATGATGTTGCTATGTGTCCATCAAACCTGTAATTACTATTTATTACAATTTTTTTATTAAATGGAGCAAATATTAAGCAATGCCATACATCAAATCCACACACAATAATATCAGCTTCTTTTAGTTCAGGATCATCTTTGTAAGCATTCCAAAACGTTTCTTGCGTTAATTTCAAATGTTCTTTAGAATAACCATGAATTAGCTTTTTCTGTAGTCCATAATATTGCTTATCTCTGGATTCCCAACTAATAAACTTAAAACCTGCTTTTGGTAAAACCTCTTTATTGTCGGCTGCTGGTCCCAAATGAACACCGATGCCTAAAACTACAATCTGTTTTTTGTATTGTTTTTTAGTTTTTATCTTCACAGGTTTAAATAAACAGAGTACATTATGCGGCGAAGAAACTGTAACGTTGTTTTTATTAAGAGCAAAAACATTTTTCCAACATGGTTTTTTTAAATAAGAATACTTCCTGGTAAGATTTGAAGTAATTAAACTGTAAAGCATTGTATTATTTCTTCGTTGAATAGCACACCGTGGGTATATATAAAATTTAATCGCTCTTAGATAACTTACTTTATTAATGATAAAATAGTACATTAATACTAAAGTAAACAGCAAACCAACTATTTTTTTCATTGCTCACTGCCTCAATTCTAAGTTTTCTTTTTCTTTTTTTAGTTTTATTTCACGAAAAAGCAAAGATTTAAAACGTTAAAGTAAATTTAAATTCATATTATGTGTATTTGTGTCTTTGAGTCAATACGATTCCTTCAATATTCTTACTTTGTCTTCATATTTCTGAAGATTTAGTATTATAGTCCTTGGTCGTCCACCGTTTTTTTATTTCACCAGTGCGGTGAACTCTCTCAATTTCGACATCTTTGCTAACGCTATATTACATTGAATTTTAATTAAATTTTCATTCCACGAAACAATGCTTGTTACAAAATTTTTTGTATCAAAGCGTTACATTTCAATAGAATAGACGTTTCTCTATATAGATGCTTCTCTAAAGAATCGATTGCGGTTCTAAAATTCGATTTCATAAACTTTTCGCAAAGCTTTCTGGGATCGAAATGCGGACAAACAATACAAAATGCAAGAAGACTTCACACTAATTCTGAAGAAAACATAAAAGTGCAATAAAACACATGATGTATTAGGTACGCTTTTTGAAGTTCGCTTTTGGAGAGGTAGGCCTACCTCTACAAATGCGGTTAGCAATATATAGTAGAACCGTATAAGCTGATAGACCATATAAACTGATAGACACGCCGTAAGTTAAGCCAACATCTTTAAGCGCGTGACGTCACGTTTGGGCAAAACAAAACGCGATTCAAGCAAAATAAAGCTTTAAGAATAGAAAACTTTTTGTTAAAGTAAACCTTATTATTATCAATATTTTTTTAAATATTGTTAAATTTATCATTTGTATCAATTATTATTTTTCTTAGAATAGAAAACGTAACAGTTAATAAATTTTATTATCCATTACATTAATATACAAAATAACTTTGCTTTAAAATGTATACAAAGTGTATTAACAAAGGAAATTAAATTTCCTTTGTTAATACACTTTGTATACGTTTATTATGTAGTAAATTGTTGATCGAGTCAGTTTTGTGGTGCAATCTCATCTTTAAATATTTAGCAAAATTAATTTTATAATTTCTGCACCACTTTCATAAATAAATTACAGACAACGCTTAACAATATTAGTTTTTTTACAACCACCTAAACTATCAATTAAAAAATATACACCAGGAAGTTTCCAACGTCCATTTACACAGTTTACCATAAAAACTAAATCTTATTTTGTTTTGGGTTAACTATTATTATTGATATTAGCACAAAAATCAATATAACCAGAAAATTTATGGCCTGTCCATTCAATTTTTTTTTCAAATGGCCATTTTATCTAACATAAACACACATTATGTTGAAAAATCTGAGTCTCTTTTACTTTGCTATGAAGAGTAGCTAAAGCTTCTTTACAAAATCCAAGGAAACAGTCATTACTTTTATACCATTTTGTATAATTCCAGGATGAAGAAGTGCATTACTAAATGTTTTTCTAACATAACTATATGCTTAAGCAGAATAAAAATTTAATGTTAAAGCAAGGTTGTTAACAAGGCCAAAAGTAGCAAGGACATGGCCGAGACCACATGTTACAAGGCTAAAGCCAAGACCAATGCCAAAAGTTACAAAGCCAAAGCCAAGGCCAAGAATAAGAGTTTCAAGGCCAAGGCCTACGCAAACATTTTCAAGCCCAAAGACTTGAATTTTTGTCTAATGTTAAGGTCAATTATTAACAAATTTGTAGGTAACAATTGCTGTGACAATAAACCACATGTTGTAAAAATAAACCAGGGTTATGCCCAAAATTCTACAAAGTCAATAAAAAACATACTTGTAGATATGTATATAGCCGAAAACAAAAATACATAAAAATAAAGAATGAAATCTTTTTATTATTCAATTTTATGTACTTTTTTTGAAGGCCAAGACCAAGACCAACAGTTTTAAGACCAAGGCCTTAAGGCAAGGTCAAGGCCAAGACCTAGGACTAACAACTCTGTGTTGAAGCAAACCTTCATAATTCTGGTGGGTAATGCTTTTTAACTTTTCTTGTAAAAAACAACAAAATAACTGTTTTGTAAACTCAGACATAGCTCCCTAAAATTAAAAAGATTAAATAAATACATTTTTAGTAACAACATCATATTTATACTTGAAAATCCAATCAAGTAAAATAGGGAATCAATGATTGGGGTATCAAGAAATAGATGAAATTATCACAATAGCATTACAATCATAACAACAATTATTACTGTTACGACAAACACAATAATTAACTTATCTCTATTCTTACCGTAATTGTGATGAACTAAAATTTTCCCTAACAGTTATTTGATGATTAATATAATAAGTTTTTAATCATAAAAACTTACTAATTTAAAACCATATTTCAACAGTAGGTTGACTAAAACAAAATAATCCAAAAAGTATAACTTAATAAGAAACAAATATTTAAAATATTAAATAGACAAATAAAGTAAAAAGTCACAAATATAAATATGTTCAACAGCAACTCTTAATAAAAATATATATTATAACATTAGTGTAACTGATACTTCTTCAGAAATCATAGTATGATTCATGATTTTGATTCATCATATGATTCATACTTTTTGATTTAAAATGACGAAGGAATGAATGTAAGTCTATAATCTTTTTTTTTAAGCAACAGTTGTATTGCTGAAACATTTTAATTGTCTTTTGTTTAGCAGCAAGATTACTTATAGTTAATTTTAAAAACTTTATAATATATCGTTTACCATTTACAAAAATTTACATCAATATATGACATTGTAAAAGTAATTGTAAAGTATGTCATTGTAAAGTATTTACATTAGACTTACTGTATTGAATTATTGGTGATATTATTGTAAACATTAATGATATAATTATCAACATTGTTCCTATATATATATATATATATATATAAATATATATATATATATATATATATATATATATATATATATATATATATATATATATATATATATATATATATGTTACAAAAAGTAAACTTATAAGTTTTAAATCAATATATGTCATTGCAAAAAGATTAGTTACATTTAACTTACTGTATTGAATCATTGGTGGTAATATTTGAAATAATACTTAGTCTGTATTTTTTTGGTAGTTTTCTTGAATAAGTACTTTTTCATAAAAATGTTGGGAAATCAAATATAGAAGAGATTGCATCTTTTTTTAGTTTCTTTTGTGAACTGTAGTAGATTTTTCCCACCGCCTGAATTATTCCATACCATTTATGAAATATGAAAAACTCAAAACGAGATTGCGCTTTCGGGTTATAACTGTTAGAAGTGTACCTAAAACGTCCGTATTACCTTGGTAAACATAAACAAGGAGAAAAAAAGGTTTAGAGGGCAAGAACTCTAGAAATAAAGTTTACATAAAAGTAATATAGGAAAGACGATATAAGAAAGCGTCGTAGTGATAGAAAATAGAAAACTATAAACTAATTAGTTATTTATTTATTTATGAAAATGTTTTACAAATACTTTTATTATATAACAGTATATGTAAAAGTAAAATTCATACAGATATTAATTATATCTGTATGAATTAATACCTCCACTTTGTAAATCGCTCAATGTAAAATGGTCTGATCTTTATTAAAAAATAATGAATAAAATTCAACAACTATAAAATAATTAATAATTAGTTGATAGTTGTATATTTTCTGTTTAAACTAACTGATTAAATTAGTTCTATAATTATGTAAAAATAGTTTACAAATATCTGAATTATACCCTCCCCCGAGTAAATTACTAAACTTGCCTCTGAATTATCTTCTTCCTCCTAGTTAATCATTTAATAAAAGATGGTGTTGTAGTTGTATTAAATGATGTAATAAATAGTGAATATATAGTGAATTTTTAGTTATATATTTAATTGAAACTACTTTACAATTACATTTTTAGGTTTCTAAATTATTACCTCCCCTAAGTAAATTGTTTGATGTAAGATGGTGTGATAATGGCATGAAGTGATAGTAATAGAAATTGTGCAACTATATATCAATAAGTTATAAAATTATGTAAAAATGATTTACAAGTATAATGTTTGAATCATCACATCCCTCTAAGTAAAACATGCAATACAAAATGTATGAAACTAGTATTGAATGATGTAAATTATTATCATATTTTACTGTAACTGGGAATTTCTAGAGCTTTTGATATTTAAGTTATATGACTTTTTTTATTATAGGAACATAGATTAAATGTTTTATTCTTACTTTAATTAGTATAGTTATTAGTCCAACATATAATTGTTATTTTAGGCTGATTAAAAGATATTGTAGTGTTATATTGATTTTTAATTTTTTTTCCAAACTTACGCATATCAATTTTTTGTTAAGTATATATGTTTTTAAGTTCTATGTTTGTTATTTCTTATGTTCTACAAAAACTAGTATTGATTTTTTTATACTTTTATTTAAAAAGTTATTTGTTTTGTGCAAATTGAAAAATGTTTCTTTATTAAATTCTTTTTTTTCTTTTTTTTTAGTTCGACCACTAGATTCTGCTCTACTTCATTTTTTATGTTTAATTTGACTACTGTTGAAATATGGTTTTAATTTAGTAAATTTTTATGAATTGAAATTTACTTTATTAATCATTAGCCAACAGTTTAGGTAATAATATTGATTTCATCACCATTAAGGTAAGAATAATTTTCTTCTCTGTTCACACCGTTAAACAGTTTGTTATATTTTATTTTTTTATTGGTATTTTTCACCAAAGCAGTTTTTTATGATTATCATATTTTTATAAAAAGTGCTTTATAACTATTATAAGTTTCTAGGAATCAGTCTTAAAACATTTCAAACGTCAAATACCGGAGTATTGAACCTTTATAAGGGTCAATGTAATGTCTACTTCCTGACGAGAACCTGGTGTTATTCTAAATAATTTTCAATTTTATTTTAACGCTGATATATTTTTATTCTCTTTCTTTAAGCAATTATGCACGCACATACTTTTTATATTAGATGTCTGTTTTTGTTGTTTGTTGTAATACTTCTGCTTTATAGTTGTACTTTATGTCTAATGAATTGAGTAATTTTGTTATATTATGTTAATTTTGTATCTCAATATGCTTACCGCAACGATGGCAATTGTTAATAATTGTTTTGATTTTTTTCATATGTTTTTGTATATTTATCTTATAATTTCATATAGGTTTATTTAGATGTTTCCTATTTTTTATCTGAGGCTGAAGGTGTTCAGGTTGCATGAAAGTAAACAGACTTATTGTGTTTGTTGCTGTTTGAGTATGTAAACTACATTAGAAACGAATATTTCCGATATAAGGGTGCATATTTTTATAAAAAAAATTCACTAAAATGATCAACTGCACTAAACGGTATGAATTGTTATTGAACCTGTACTAAGTTTAACAAAACTGGAATTAAGTAAAAACAGTAATTTCTAATATAATCAATCACTTCTTTTCTCTTAGACATTTATGGCTAAATATGTTTGACCAGTGACTATACTCACTTGTTCTATTTGCAAACTTTATATATAAAGAGAACATAATAAGATCGGAACTGAACAAGACTGAGAATCAAAATATTTACGAACACACAGATTCATACAAATAAAGACACATAAAACTTTAACCTTTAGAACAGTACAAACACAAAACACAATAACTTGCAGGCCACTGAAACGACACTTAATTTAAATCTAACATAACTAACACTCACTTAACTCAAAGGTAATCACTGAATAGTATCTTCTTTTAAACATCACCTCTCAATACTGGACATCTCTCCAATATTATAATTTATCTAGCACTCATTTGCACCTATTTAACATATTTCTTCTTTCACTTAAGACTATTAAGGCCTGATGGTTCAATATAAGTAGTGGAACTTTAATAGTTTCCATAACGAAACAAAAGCAAAAAAAAAAAACATCATTTAATGGTGTGACCAGAAAACAAAGTTATTCTTAATTGAAAATTATTTAAAATAACACCAGATTCTCGTCAGGAAGTAAACACCTTATACCTTCTTGTCAGGAAGTAAACACCTTTGACCCTTATAAAGGTTCAATACTCCGGTATTTGACGTTTGAAATGTTTTAAGACTGATTCCTAGAAACTTATAATAGTTATAAAGCACTTTTTATAAAAATATGATAATCATAAAAAACTGCTTTGGTGAAAAATACCAATAAAAAAATAAAATATAACAAACTGTTTAACGGTGTGAACAGAGAAGAAAATTATTCTTACCTTAATGGTGATGAAATCAATATTATTACCTAAACTGTTGGCTAATGATTAATAAAGTAAATTTCAATTCATAAAAATTTACTAAATTAAAACCATATTTCAACAGTAGTCAAATTAAACATAAAAAATGAAGTAGAGCAGAATCTAGTGGTCGAACTAAAAAAAAAGAAAAAAAAGAATTTAATAAAGAAACATTTTTCAATTTGCACAAAACAAATAACTTTTTAAATAAAAGTATAAAAAAATCAATACTAGTTTTTGTAGAACATAAGAAATAACAAACATAGAACTTAAAAACATATATACTTAACAAAAAATTGATATGCGTAAGTTTGGAAAAAAAATTAAAAATCAATATAACACTACAATATCTTTTAATCAGCCTAAAATAACAATTATATGTTGGACTAATAACTATACTAATTAAAGTAAGAATAAAACATTTAATCTATGTTCCTATAATAAAAAAAGTCATATAACTTAAATATCAAAAGCTCTAGAAATTCCCAGTTACAGTAAAATATGATAATAATTTACATCATTCAATACTAGTTTCATACATTTTGTATTGCATGTTTTACTTAGAGGGATGTGATGATTCAAACATTATACTTGTAAATCATTTTTACATAATTTTATAACTTATTGATATATAGTTGCACAATTTCTATTACTATCACTTCATGCCATTATCACACCATCTTACATCAAACAATTTACTTAGGGGAGGTAATAATTTAGAAACCTAAAAATGTAATTGTAAAGTAGTTTCAATTAAATATATAACTAAAAATTCACTATATATTCACTATTTATTACATCATTTAATACAACTACAACACCATCTTTTATTAAATGATTAACTAGGAGGAAGAAGATAATTCAGAGGCAAGTTTAGTAATTTACTCGGGGGAGGGTATAATTCAGATATTTGTAAACTATTTTTACATAATTATAGAACTAATTTAATCAGTTAGTTTAAACAGAAAATATACAACTATCAACTAATTATTAATTATTTTATAGTTGTTGAATTTTATTCATTATTTTTTAATAAAGATCAGACCATTTTACATTGAGCGATTTACAAAGTGGAGGTATTAATTCATACAGATATAATTAATATCTGTATGAATTTTACTTTTACATATACTGTTATATAATAAAAGTATTTGTAAAACATTTTCATAAATAAATAAATAACTAATTAGTTTATAGTTTTCTATTTTCTATCACTACGACGCTTTCTTATATCGTCTTTCCTATATTACTTTTATGTAAACTTTATTTCTAGAGTTCTTGCCCTCTAAACCTTTTTTTCTCCTTGTTTATGTTTACCAAGGTAATACGGACGTTTTAGGTACACTTCTAACAGTTATAACCCGAAAGCGCAATCTCGTTTTGAGTTTTTCATATTTCATAAATGGTATGGAATAATTCAGGCGGTGGGAATAATCTACTACAGAACTCGAAAGACTTCCTTCATACAAGTGAAATGTTTATCACAACGTTTAGACAGTTTACTAGGAGTAAAACCGTCCCTCCACATAACTTGTATCCATTTTCTCCTGAATTCCAGGTTTTTCAGAAATAGAGAGCGACTATACGGTTCGGTGTCTTTAAAGCGAAACTTTTAAGAGCAAAAATTTTGAAAGCGAAAATTTTAAAAGCGAATGCGATTGGTTAAGCGAGAAAATTTTTTTAATAACATTGGTAACATCTTAAATTAAGATGTTATTAAGACTTAATAACATCTTAATAACATTGGTAACATCTTAATAACATTTTAATAACATTGGTAACATTATTATTTTTATATAAATATATATGAGTTAACCTATTATTTTTTTTCATTGAATTGTGTCATCTTAAAGTTGTTACAATTGAAGTGAGACAATTTCAGAAATAAGTTCATTAAGTTTATTATAAACTTTAAAAGTTTATACTTTATAGAAAATTGAGTAGGGCAAAATTGAATTGCTTAGAATTTTGCTCCAAAACAAAGCGTAAAAGTTAAGCGTTTATACTAATGATAATAGGGAAAATTAGTTGTTTTCGCATAAAAAATTTAGTTAGTTAGAAGTGGCTCTCTTTTATGTGCCAGCATATCGGTCAGTTATATTTACTGTTTAATTATCTGCAAGGCAAAGTGAGTATTTTGATATTTGTGTTTAAAATAATTTTAATAATTGTTATCAGACATTTACTTTAGAAATATGAATTATAGCTTAAACTTTAAGCTTTTAAGTTAAAGCCTGTGTCAAAAATGACTTTTATATGTTGTATTTAAATATGACTTAATGACATTATTTATATAACAAAAATGGCTTTTATATGGTGCATTTGCCTGAAATTTGACTTATAGTCTATTAGTCAAAAATCACAATATAAGTCTCTATAATAAAGATACTTATATTGTGACCATTATGTATGTCATTATCTTGATCGATGTTGTTACACTTGGAATATGTTGTTTTAACTTTTAGTTATTTTATTTTGCTACAATTTTTTTATGATGTTGTTTTGATTTCATTTGTTCTGTAAACAGAAAGCTGTACAGTGTCCTTTTTTTTCCCATGTGTTGAATTTCAGCAACATTTTTGTCAAAATTATCTATAGTTCATTTTACAAGAGGTAGTAGAAGATTATTTTATTTTTAACTACTTTCTTATTTTGTAATGTGGTTTTTTTTTTTTAGAACAATTTAAGAGTATGATTTAATTAATAACTGTGTGAATCTTTTTGGTTGATGCCTTAAAGATTTTTTGAAGGCAGTTCTACATTTTATTGAAATATAAAAACATGCCACTATCCCAAAAATTATTCTGCGTAATGTTTTTTGGATTGTTTGCATGTAAAATTAAAAATTCAGTCATTGATTGTGAAAAAGACTAATTGGCTAATTAGTTTAAAAAGTTTCAATGGTGATGATTGATTGGTAAGAAACTTATTTACTTTTTATGTTTTAATTACATGATTTGTTAATATTTATGATATGAATTGTTTGTGAGCTCAGTATAGTAAAGTTTTTATTCCTACATTTGTATTACTTAGCACAAATATTTTATAATTTTGTCTACAGATTGGTTTGTAATAGCCTTAATTATCTTATTTACTTAATGTTCAGTATACTGTTATGTTGTTTTTAAACTAGATAAAATAGTTTTTAAAACGAAAATTACTGCTGGCTCTATATGAACCTAATTTAAGTTTACTTCTTTGGGAATTTTATATCATTTATTAAGTTTATTGTATTGGTAACTTTTTTATTACTAAAAAAAGAATTTTGTTACAAAAAAAAAAAAGCGTAAAATGCATAACATCTCAGCTATTACAATACATTGGAGGGCTTTTATTGGAAATGTTTTTTTTTTAAACATTTTCATTTCCAACAAGATTGCAAGCACCTACTATTAGAGAAAAGATGAAATTTATAGAGCAAAATAACAACTAACAGAAAAAATTAATAGATTGCGAATTATATGAAGAAAAAAAACAAGCTGAAGCAAGTGAAAAAAAAGTTTCACGAAAAAACAGATTAGAACTTTTTGGGCACTTAGGAGCAGTCATACTAAAGGATTAGCCTTTATTGAATGATGAGTAACACAATAGTTAGTTTTAGTAGATGACTCAAGAGACACTAGCTCTTTAGAGCAGTGTTCATAATTGTATTTATAAAAAATAAAAAGAGAAGCAACATTATGATAATATTCTAATGGATGGAGGTTGGCTGCAAAGGTCAAGGTGCAAAAACAATTCCTTTTTGTACCTTGTCTAAAAGATAAAGGCCATTACTGGAAGATCTGATTAAGATATGGCAAAAGTGTTCCATGCAGGAATGGATTTAAGATTTATAGAGATAAGACATTTATAAATATTTATAGAGATGTTTGAATTGATATACTTTTAAATATATAATGTATACTTTTAAATTTAATATTGTATCATAAGTTGACAATATATTCAAAGACTGAAACTTAGCATAATTGTTTTAAGCAAAAGGTCTTTGCACACTACCAATTAAGTATTTATATTTCAAGAGTTGTTTATTGATAAAAGCTTGCCTTAATTTATATAAATAGTAATATTTGTAAATATTATTATCTACTAGATAATAATTTATATTAAAAACTAACCTTTATATGTCTCGTTTTCAAATATGTTGTGTTGATATATTTGCCCTGGCTTTTAGTTTATGACTCAAAATTTAGACATCAATTCTTGAGGTTTAACTATCTCATCATTTCTAAAAGTATCAAGGGTAGACAGCCTAACTCGCCATACCTAATCAAAACAAAAGAACATTATAAATTCGTATCTTTCGAATTTTATGAATAATTTTTATTTAAACATTAAAACAATCTTTTGCTTGAAATCTAATGCATAAATTTCAAAAAACAAATTAAAATTAAATAATATCAATAAGAAATTATGCAAATCTTTTTTTTTTATCTATAACTTATTAACTTGTAGTGCAATTATAATTTTTATGCAAGATTTTATACCTTTTTGTCGCAATGTAACTCAAGCCTCAGCTAGAATACCAAATGAATAAATAATTCTAAACTATATGCATTTAATCCTTGCGGCGAACGTGACGTCACTTTAACTAACTAAACGGCTACCATTATGGTATGGGGGCAAACAAAGCGCTTGAAAATAGAGAAATGTGTTTTTCATTGTTCAATTAATGTTAATAGTCATCCGAACTTGATTTTTTATATTTTGCTTCCTGATCCAAAGAGAAGAAAATCGTGGTTTTATGCTTTATATAGAATTGATTCATCTTGCAAACAAACTTTGGTCGCAAAACATGTCTAAGTTTGCTCAAAACATTTTGTATTTGATAAGTTTTGTATTTAAATCGTCAAAATATTTGAGCACAAATTTTTCTTAAACTTATTAAGTTTTTTTCGTCTATATATTTTTATTCATTGTAATTATGTTTCTCTTTTAGGAAAAAAAAGAACATAGTCTAGATGCTTTTCAAAATTTTGAAAAGCATGTTGACTATATTCCATCAGTAAATATGTTAGGTGTTAAAAAAAATATATAGTGAAATCATCCCTCCAACATAACCAATTGTTATGTGAAATGAAAGGAGAATAAATAGATTAAACAATTCACTTAGTATATACTATATAATATTGGTATGTACTGTATAAACAACACGATAAACTATATAATATAGTTTATCTTGTTGTTTAAAATGTTTTTGTAAAAACTGTTTATATAATAGTTACAATTTATTTTTGTTATACATTGATGCATAACAAAAATAAATTGTATATATAAATATTAATCCATTAAAACTAAGCATTTATAAATCATGTATTATTGTTTTTATTTTTAAATTAATTAATGTTCAATAGCTTGTTGAGCACAAATTTTGTATTTACTATATACCTCAAACATGCTAATATTTTTTTAGAATATTATGTACAAAAAAGTCATTGCAATAAATCTCAAGTTATTAAAGTCAGTGAACAAATAAGTACTGATAAATAATGCAGCATTAGCTAGGTAAGTGATTATGTGTATGTTGGCTCACTCATAAGTCAATATATATGTGTTTATGTTCTGTGTCGACCTCTGGTGTCATGTTGGCTCACCCTTTAGACATGTGTGTTTGTGTTCTGTTTCAACCTCTAGTGCGGTGTTGATTCACTTGTAAGTCATGTGTATAATTTTATTTTGTTTTATTGTGTTATTATTGTGATGTTATTGTTGTGATGTTTTGTGTTGATAGACAACTTTGCTTACCTTCTCGTTGGTGTCTCTTGCTACAAATGATTATTAGATAGTTTTTTTACTTAAACTCGTCACTTCTAATCATTTACTAATAGGCAAGAAACATGTTTTAAAGTAAAACATACTTTTAATGTTGTCATTTTTAATCTTTAGGATTGTTCTTAGGTCACAAAACAATCTTACAAAGTAAGTTCTTCTTTATTATTTAGTTATATTTTTAAAATTTTTTATTTAATTAATGTCTTATGTATCATGTTAACATTTTTTTTTTTTTTCATGTTAACATGATACATAAAACATTAATTTGTAAATGCTTTCAGCACAAATTGGTTCCATTTTTTTTAGTAGAGTTTCTGCTGCTGTCACTGGTTTTAGAGAGTTCCTTCGTGAATAAAGATAAAAAGTCATTTATGTTATTTTTTAAAAGCCAAGACATAATATTGTTAATCCTCATACCATTGACTAAAAAACTTTATAAATATTGTTGCGATGTTATAATTCAAATTGTTGTAATTAGTAATTTTGATCATTTCATTATTATACTGTAAAAAATATTTTTTATTTATAACATTTATTTCACATATATTAAAAACATGAGGAATAAATATTACACTGAGAAAAATTTTAAGCAAAATATAGAATTTTTAAATGTTATTAGAATATCAATATGTAATATTTTTGTTTTATTTGACTACATCTGTAAACTGGCAATAATTTCAAAATGATGAATTAATTGAATTCCATGATTCCTTAAAGCATTTGCACAGATTTATTTCAGTATAACGCTAAATTTTGTTCTGGTAACGTTCAGCAGCTTATTTAGATAACTTTTCTTGATAATCATAAGACATTTTCAAGGCGTTTAAGTAATGTTGTACTGAAATCATCGCGTTTGTTTGCCCCCATATCATAATGGTAGGTATTTTTGTTTTTCATTACGCAATGATCACGTGGTTTTTTCGCCGCAAGAATTCTATACTAAAACTATATACATAAACTCTAAACTATATGCAATAAATTTTTTTTATTTATTTAATCTAATAAACTCTAACTGTAACTATAACTCTCAGCTAGAATATCAAATAAATAATTCTAAACTATAACTAACTTATAATTATAAAAATATTAACAGTTTAAAAAAAATAAAATCCAAACGCTCAATAATCTATAATATAACATTGAAATAATAACAAAATCAGAAAAAATTTCAATAAATTTTAGTCGTTGTTGGTGTCGAACTTATCGCGATACTCGATTTCCCGGTTTTTGCTTTCAAACTTTTCGCTTTAACGTTCTTTCGCTTTAAGACTTTTCGCTCTTATAAGAGAGGGTTACGAAGGTTAAGGTTACGAAGAAACGTAAGCTTACGTTTCTTCGCTTTTAAACTTTTCGCTCTTACCTCCTATTACTAATAATATATTAAGAATAACTATTTTTATAATATATAAGTATATATAACTAATATAATAAGTTATTTTTAATATATCATTGTATATATATATTTATAATATATATAAGTATATAAATTATAAATTGTATATATATATTTATAATATATATAAGTATTGTATTTGTATTGTATATATATTTATAATATATATAAGTATATATAACTAAGATAATAAGTTATTTTCACTGATCTATATAATAACTGGATAGCGCATCTCTAATATCAAAACTGAAGCCGATTTTTTTTTGGCGGCCATATTGGGAGGTCCCAAAATAAGTATTGATGCGTTGAAAATATTAGGAAAACGAACTGCAATTTTTTCAAAAAGCAAGAAAAAAGTGAATGATGTGGATTGATATTTTAGTAAAAGGTGCTGCAAATCTTCAAAAAGCAAGAATAAAATTAATTGAAATGGATTGAGCAAATCTAGCAATAAAAAAAACACGCAACATCAGCAAAATAGTAAAAATCTGTTGTAAAATGTCTAACGAATAATTAGTATTCTTTAAATCATTTCTCTAGATTTTTATGTTGATATTATAGAAAGTATGATAACGAAGTACAAGCTGGAAATATAAAATTCTTAATAGTAAGTTAGTAATCTTTATTGTATGCTAATAATATTAATAATAAGCTATAATAATAATAGTAATATGCTATCTACAATATTTCTAAAAGTAAGTTATTATTTAAGATTATTATAGTCGCTATTACACTTAATATATATAGAAAATAAAGTCACTATATCTTCTTTAAATACAAAGTTATTGCATGTGTTTAAAAAATTCTTGGTAATGATTACTAAAAAATGTAAACAGAAGGAAAAATTAAAGTACAAGCTGAACAAAATACCGTTTATTGTTAGTAATATTTAACTTATATATTATATAATATAAGGTAATATATATATATATATATATATATATATATATATATATATATATATATATATATATATATATATATATATATATATATATATATATATATATATATATATATATATATATGTATATATATATATATATATATATATATATATATATATATATATATATATATAAATATATAATATATATATATATAATATATATATATATATATAATATATAATATATATATATATAATATATATATATATATAATATATATATATATATATATATATATATATATATATATATATATATATATATATATATATATATGCTTACAATAAAACATGTAAAACTTGTCATTATTGGTGATTAAATAATACTAATTTACTAAATTTTTTTCGAATATTTTTTCCTGCCACTTTCTCAGTGGCTTGTTTTCCAAGATCGTATAGTCTCACTTTGCAATAACAGTGAGAAATTATTTTAATTAACTTAAACACGTGATTTTCATTAATCCCAGTATCAAACATGTGTTCATCCAAATCTTTAAATATATCAGAACCTAAGTCTTCTAAAACTGAAATAGATATAGCTTCTGGGATGTTCTTGGAATGTGGCAGTTTTCCAGGTATTGTTGCTAGCATTCTCACAATTTTTTTTTCAGTTTCTTCACAAACAACAATAACATCTTTTTTTGGTTTTATAAGGCCACCACTATCTTTTACTTTAAGAAAATTAGATTCTGGAACATGGTTTTTAGAACCAAGTGCATTACAGCATAACATACAAAATATTTGTTTTTTTACCATTCCAACAACGAAACCTGATATATAAGAAATAGCTGCCTTTTTATACTCAGTTAGCAATGAAATATTACAAATAAAAGAATAATCGTGATCAATTAGCTTAGCTGGTCTTTCGGAAAGGTCGTATTTTCTCATTATGCTAATTGAGGTTATATCTATACTCTCATCGCTTACTGTAACAGAATCGTCTAAGATGTTTAAAATTTGTGCAGTGTTTAGTTTTTCACAATTCCCTGAGCCTCCTTCAATATGGCTTCGAAGTAAAAGTCGCTTATATGCAGCAGTGAATTGTTGTGCTGTTGGATTATTGTTAAATCCTCCTGATCCTCGGATGGAGCCAAAAAACAACTCAAGGTGGTCTTGACTTAACTTGTATGTTAGAAGATACTTTACTTGAATAAAACTGTAGGGTAAGTGCAAACGATTTAATTTCTTCTGAATATTGACATCCCTTATTGTTATTTTTTCCTTTTATCATTCTTCTGGCTACAGCAAGGGGGACTGTTTTTGATAGCATTTCTTCACAATTTGATGATATTTTGTGTTTTTGATGTAGTATTTTTATGACTGATTTAAGAGACGTTATACATTTTTTCATTCTTCTAGATTTTTGCTGCTCTGCTTTTACCTTTTTTTTTAAAGACTGAATGATCTTGATTCTTCGATCTGTTAACAGTTTTTCTGGTGTTAAAATGGAATTACATGTTTTTATAGGAGAGCTAAATTTCATGCAGATAGGTAAAATACTAGTTTCAGAATCACTTATCTCAGAATTAGAAATACATCTTTCAGTAGGACTTTTTCTCTCTTTCGTTGTCTAAAAAATACATAAGATATGTATACATATATATATATATATATATATATATATATATATATATATATATATATATATATATATATATATATATATATATATATTTGTTTTATTTTTTATATCGTACTACTAGAAGGAACCTCTAAGTTGTGTTTACTCACAGAGCTTAGCTAATAGTTCATGCAGCGTTTATAAAATGATAGCATGTACTCATCAAAGTAAGTTATGACAAGTACAGTGTTTTAGCTGCTTACCTTACAGTTGTGTTATAAACCCTCTAGCACACTGCATAGGGTAATTAAGAACTAAAAGGTACATATAGAACATAGGTACATATAGAAATAGCCTTTAGAATATAAATAAAACCATGGTTGATCATATACCTTTTTTAAGTGGTCTGGAAAATTTTTAAATCTTTTTGGCAAAGAATTTTGCCTCAACCTAACTGTTTGTCCAGTTCTGTCAATATCCTTTTCCAAAAAATGATCAGAGCATATCAGACTGCTAACTCCTGGACTCCATTCTTGACGATGTATTCTGTTGATCCATTCTTTTCTTTTTTCAGTGTTAGAAGGAAATCTGAATAGAATTAAGTAGTAAAAGCGTGTAATATTTAATTAAGTTTTTTGTATAATTCTCCCTTGGTTGTAAAACTATATATTATATAATGTAAAAAAACTAATGTAATTTACATTAGTTTGCTTACATTATGTAAACTAAGTAAACAAATTGAAAAATCAAGAAAGTTACTTATGAAACGTTCTAGGAAATTTTCGTTTTAGTGATGATTCTTCATCAGAAGGTCCATCGCTATCACTTCTTTTACCACCACCATACTTTCTCTTATTGCAACCAAATGCACAACATTGTGACCCTCGCTTTACAGAATTTTCTCCAGACATTTAAAGAATATCTTTAATAATGTTTTTAATTTACAAATAATATATAAATTAATATATATTATATTATAAATTATATTATATATAAAATTATAAATATAATATTGTGTATATGTATATATATATATATATATATATATATATATATATATATATATATATATATATATATATATATATATATATATATAATATATAAATAAAATTATATATACAATATAGTATATTACATTGTAATATTTTTATACTGTAATAGTAAATAATACTATATATAAAAATTTCTCTTATATTTAATTAAATTTGAATTTATATTATATAAAAAAAAGTGAAATTAAGCAACTAAAAAAAGAAATATCATAATATTTCTTATAAACAAATTTTATCCGTGGGACCTCCCAATATGGCGCTGGTGAAAATAAATTGGCTTCAAAAAATACGCTATTTTCTTAGGAGATGCGCTATCCAGTTATTATAGAGATCAGTGGTTATTTTTAATATATCATTGCCAATTACAGACTTTACAAACCCTCTATAAGCACAGAATAGCCATCATCTGATTCGCTTATTTGTAAGAGAGGCAAGTCCGCAAAATTTGAAAAAAAGAAAAATAGAGTTTTCGGCGTAAAACATTAAAATAAAGAAAAATAGTTGGATTTTGTTTATTTTTTGCATTTATTTGTGTTTGTGTTTGTTTAATATAAATTAGTTATTGATTTTGTATTTATTTATTAAAGAATAGACTCATTGCTTATTGTTTTACCTAATTCAGAAGTAGTTTTAGATGATAAAACTGTTTTTATTCAAATTATATCAGAGGAGCAAGCCAATTTACATGTAGAAAGAGTATTGAAATAAAATGCACACTAGATATAACTTACAAAATATACAACTCGCTGTTTATTATTGGTAATCAGTGTAGTTCATAAACTATAAATCTAGATTGTTTATTACATTTTGTCTTCGGTACTAATTGGCCAAATAATTTATTTACACTGTAAGAACTCCTAATATAACTAGATATTTTTAAAATTTTCTAACCTTTTACTTTCAGGTGTCAATATATAATTTTCTACTTTAGTGAGAACATGACTTTAATCTACTTTAGTGAGATTAAGACTTGCATTAAATTATATTTTTTAATTGAATAAATATTGCAGCATGATATTGATATTGTATTTATTTATTTTTTTGAAGTTTTACCTTTATAGTTCCATACTTGTATGGCATAGAAATCTGCAGTATCATTTTTTAAGTTAAATGATTTTATGGAAAGTTTGAATCAAATTTTACAGCTGGATTCCCTTACAAACATAAACCTTTCATAACTGAGTTTTTTTATCTTGACACCATCACTAGGAAGGTTAACATCCAAAGTTCAAGATTCCCTCCTTCCCTTAATTATATGTGTGGTTTTTTTTTTTTTTGGATTTATGTCAGAGTTTTTGCTCTCTTAGGTGAGTTGACTACACCACCACTAAGGTGCCTCACTAGCCCCAAAACAAATGGTCAGCTAAAATAAATTATAGTTTTTAGCTTTTTTTAATTATAGTATATGTAAATTAGTTATTAATTTATTCAAGGAAAATTAGTAATTCTCCAAGTTTTCATTACGATTGTCAGTGTTTAAGTTATTTAAATCACGATTTTTTGATTAAATGTATTTGACATATTATCAAATATTTTAGCAGTTATTTACTTTTTTATTTCAGATAAACATTGATGTGTATAGTTATTGCAAGAATAAAAAATAGCAGTTGTATCTCTGGTATAGAAGTGGAAAAATATTCCTTTATCATTTTCAACATATTTAAAAAATAAACTTATTAAAGTTATTTTTGAAATAACATTGTAGGCACATGTCAATGATTTTGAATAAACAAGAGGAAGTTTTCATATTAGATTTTACTCAACTGTTAAAATTAAGTTCAACTGGTTATTTCTTTAGAATATAGTCTTGGTTAAGATCAATATTGATTGTAATTGGTGTTGTTATCAATGCTCTCATTATTTAAAGACAAATGTATTTGAAATTCAGAGTTTCACACAACTATAAATTATTTACTTCAATTGAACCATTGAATAGCTGTCATTAATTGAATTGTTTTCAGTTTAGATGCTCGTTTTTACCCTTTTAATGTTTCTGCAAACTTATTGAGAATAAAAAGTACTGGATTGAGGAGGAAAATCCTTTAATAAAATAACTAAATTTTATAAATTTATGCTTTGATGGAATATCTAAATTTTATTAATTTATGTTAATTAATTTAAATAATTTATATTAATTAACTTATGCTATTTGGTAGTTTTTTTTTGGTGTGATTTTGAATGAAAGAATAATAACCCAGTTAACCAACCCAGCTGGGTCCCAATTGGGATTGAGCTGGGTTTACTGGGATTGGGTTCGGGCTGGGATTTGTTCTGGGTGCCAGAACAAATCCCAGCTCCATAGTAAAACTTTGCTATTATATATTTTTTACAAAACATATAATAGCAAAGTTTTACTATGGAGCACTGCTGTACGTAAACTTTACATATTATTTATTTTCAAAAAAATCATTTTATAAATGGTTTATGTATTTATATATAATATGCAAGTTTTACAAACTTATGAAAAAAATTAAAATCATACATTTATTAAATGTAAGATTTGACATATTTTATAAGTAATATAGTTTGTTTTTTTTTTGTTAATTCACCTCCTCAAGGCTGAGTAGGCCACTACAGACGAGGAGGCTACTTATTTGTGGTTATATAACCCTCTTTCAACTCTATAACTCTGAAACACAAACCTTGACGAACAAGGCTGCTGCGCGGAGAAATGTGTTGAGTGCGGTACTACCAGGGACGTGACGGGGATTGAACTTGGAACCTCTCGCTTATGAAGCCAGTGCTCTACCATTACATCACTATCGGATATAATATAGTTAATATATTTCTCATAGTATAAGTAATATATAACTTATAGAAAATGTTAAATCTTACATTTATATTATGCATTTATAAATGATATCTATATATAGTTTATATATAGCAGTGTCACTTAGAAAAACCTTTCTAATAGTCATATTATCACTTTACAAAACATAGTAATACTATGTTATATCTTTTGTAAAGTGATAATATTTATTATTTGAGTTATATTATAAATATTATAACTTTAATTTTAATTTGCAGTATAAGGTTTTATATGAAAAAATATTTAAATAATTTATATTGTGAATTACTTGTAAATAATAGTAATTAATAATAAAAATGATAAACTAAATTTCATAACCATTAACAAGTTTGTGAGTATGTCAATGTTTATTTTTTTACAGACTTGTAAAATGTTTTATCAAACTGAAGACATTTTTATTTTTTTATGCAATAGACAAATGTTGAAAATTTCATATTAGTTTTTATGGTTGGTGTGCTAACAGTTATGGCTTAGTCACTAAGTTACAAAAATGAAATATACTAAGTTAGTATGTTTCATTTTAAATTATCTTTTTCAAGCTAATCTCAATGACACTTTACAAAACATGTTAAGGTTTTACTAAGTAATACTGCCTCATCTAAACTTTACATATTATTTATAAATACATGTTTTAGATTTTCTATAATTTATGTAATTAATAATATAATACTTATATTATAAATACTGTAACTGATATTATAAGTTATAATATAAGGTTTTGTATAAAAAAATGTAAAAATTATTGATATTGTGAATTATTTGTACATAATAGTAAGTAATAACAAAAATTATTAGATGTTTTAACGTTTAGCTTTATTTATCTGAAGTAATAAGAAAATTATCACATTTTGTTTGAATATATTTATTTATTAAATACATTTTTTAATTCTTTAATATATAAATATTTATATATATTTTGATTGCAATATTCAGACATTTGTTTAAGAAACAATTTGGCTAGTCTAAAAGAGGGAAATGTTGTGTTTTAAGGTTTTAAGATGTTTTTTAATTATCACAGCGTGTTATATAATTTTTTAAGAATATGTTCTGAAATAAAATAAATATACAATCATAAAATGTTACTCGAGTGCAATATAAAAATGAAAATGTAGTTTTGATACTAAATATTGCAAAAACTGAATCTTTCAATAATCATGAGTGTTATTTATTTTTCACTTGCTATAGTAAGTTAATTTCATTGTGTTATTATATGATATCATATAGTCATATATAATATGTTTATTTACAAAGTTATAAAAAAGATATCAAATTTTTTTGGTAATAAATTTTTTATCTATGTTATTTTTGTATACAACTTAATTAAATTTTAAATTTTAATAAAACTTTATTAAATTTATTAAAGAGGTTAAATAGTATCTATGTTTTGTTTTTAGAATTGGTTTGTGTTGATTTATGATTAACAGCAGAAAATGCATTACTTCAACAAATGTTAGTTGTTTACACATTAGTTATATAATCTCCTATGAAATGGTTCATCTAAATCTATAAAGTTAACACTTAATCTGACAACATTAATTTGAATATATTTGTTTCAGAAAGTTCAGGAAAGTTTTACTTTTCCCGAGTTTTAATATCTCAAACTATTAGTTTACAGAGTTTGATAAAATAAAAAAACAGGGTTGCCACTCAAACTGGAAAACCTGGAATACCTGGAATTAGTGTGAATCCCAGGAAAAACCTGGAATACTCAGGGATTTTCTAAAATTTTCATAAAATTCAGGGAAAACTCAGGGAAAATAATTTTTTTTTTTTAATTTTGTACAATAATTTTTTTTTTCAAAAATATTTTGCTAATACATATAATAATAAGTTTGATAGTTGTGAGTGTTGTTGTAAAAGTTTTTAGGTTGTCAAATATAAAGATTATGTCTAATTAAAGATAATAATAATCTTGTTGATGAACAGGAAAGAATATACAAAAGTCAGGGAGAACTCAGGGAACTTAAAGAGTTCAATGCAGGGAAAAACGTTCTTTACTCAAGGAATACTCATGGAAAAACTTTAAAAATTATAGTGGCAACCCTGATAAAATAATTTCTGTATAATAAAAATATTTAGAATATGAAAAATATACAGGTTTTTCCTAATATTGGCCTGGGCTTCTGTGAATAGAAGATGGACTGTGAATCTCTAGGAAATGTGAATGTTATTATGATAGCAAATATTTTTAGATCAAGAATAATGTGTTTTACATTATTTTCATTAAAAGTTTATGAATATATATGATAAAAAATATTTTTAAAACTACATATACAGTAGTGTGACATGATTTGGAATAAATATACATTTAAAGGATTTTTCACATAAACTTCATTTGGTACCTCAATGGTAGTTTGTTTTTATTTTTATTCTCATTTATCTGTTGGTTAGTAGAATATTATGTACTAGTAATAATATTTATATATGGTAAAGTATATAGTTTATTCATGCAATATAATTTCAATAGTCAATTTTTAATAGTTAATGGCAGTATATATTGTCATCAATACATGCTGCCATTGTCACAATGTAGTAAAGTTTAAAAGTTATCTATGTATAATGATTTTTTAAACCAATTTGTTAGGGTGTTATATTTTTTAGAATCTAATGTGTAGCTCTAAGACAACATGAAATTAAACAATAAATTGTGGTCCATGATAATTGAAATGCGTTATGTTAGACTAATCATGAGTATAATTATTATATATAATAATATAAGTACTCTACACTTGTTTATAATTGTAATTTTTCGTTGTGAAAATAATTTTATTACAAAATTTATTGTGGTCAAAATTTCAATTGTTTTTAATTTTTTTAAATATGTTTAAATTGTAACAAATAATTATTTTCAAGTAATAATATAACCTAAAATGATTATTGTTTAATTAGTTACAATCAAAATGTTAGTGATATTGATTATTTTTGCATTTATTAAATTATATAAAAGATATTAAACCCTCGCTAACTGATTTAATGGTTTGATTTATTTATGTTATATTATTGTTATATTATTGTTGTTTACAAGTCTATTTATGTCATGCCTAATTATTAACATCAATTATTTACCATGAAATAACATTGTTTTAGATTCCCTGCAGGATGTCTGTTAAAAAGAAAAACTGAAGAAACTTTAAAACTAGATGATGCCAACTAAAGAAGTTGAAACACCGTTATTCATGGTGTCATATCGAGGGTTCAGTTCTCCAGTATTTATTTATATATTTTATTATATATGTTATGTTTATTTTATTTTTTGTTTTTGTTATTTTTGTAACAACAAATGTGAATAATTAATTTTCCTGCCCTGGGCCTCTACTTCAATCTGGCTAATATTATAACACGTATATCGATTTATATATTGTATTGAGTTAGCTTGTGATTTGTACGTGTGTTTTTTTTGCCTAGTGTTTGTTAGTTATGTGGAAGATATGGCATGGCATGACACACTGCATGGTATGCCCTAACTAATATTATCAATAAATATTTTTATCTATACTTTGTAAATATATATGCTATAATTTATTATATTATTCAAATGTTTATTTTTAATTTATAAAATTAGTGGATGAAAGCACTAAAGAAAACGATAACGATAAACTTTAAAGCAGAATTTTTTCATGCAATTATGATGGCGATATGAGAGAACTAATGTGGCAGAATATTAATATCGTAGAACAGTTTTGTATCAAATCATTGTATAATATTAGTTTTTTGTTGTTTAAAAATATTATGAAATTCAAATCTGTATTTTCAATTGATTCGTAAAAATTATGTCAGACCAAATATTCATTTGCCTAACACATTTTATTGCCCTGACAGCGAATTTAATATATATAATATAAATAACCTTTACTTATTAATTTTATATAAAAATTGCGACGCTTTTTAATCAAAAAATTGTCACATTTCGCAGATTCGAGATACAAAAAATCTGCGAAAAAACAAACTATCAAAAGTTGAGAAAACCCGCGGTAAATGAAAAAAATATCTGGGTTCAATATGGGATTTCCCGTCAAAAATCCAGACTTATCCCAGATGGGACCCAATTGGATCCCACTGACAAAATTACAAAGGGACCCAAATGGGTCCCAGCGTTTTCCCCAGTTGGAATGGTTAACTGGGAAGCTGAGTCAGAAAACCTAATTCGAATGTTTTAATGGAAAAAACAAATTAAATATATTGACTGTTCAAAACGTATTGTTTAAAAATTGAAATTAATTTTATGTGGATGGTTAGAATAGACGTTTTTTAAAACTCTAAAGCCTGCTGGGTAGTTGTATAAAGGAATTTTGCCACTTACAAATAATTAAAATTATAACTGATAAGATGAATTATGTGAAATATGTGTAAAGTTTAAATTGTAAAATTTAAACTTAACATATTATGTTTGAAGTTTACACTATTCATATGTGTAAAGTTTAAATTAAAGTGTAAATATTCAATAAAATTTTTCAAATAAGTGATAAAATATAAAAACAAACAAAACGGGCGATCCATATAGTTTACGTATACATATGATTGCCTGCCAGAGAAATGGGAGTTCAAGGCTTTCACGTATGCAAAAAAAAATTATGGTTACGAAATCTAAAAATTTGTAACTTTGTTATTTGATAAGTTCAAAATGAATTTTCAAAAGAAGTTAGAGTTGATAACAGAGTTGTCCGCTGTCAGAACGGTTTTTGGTAGATACAATGAATAAGCGGCGGCGGCCAATGACTTTGGGAGAGCGGCGGAGACGAAATGTTTTGCGACATTTTTTATCTAAAACAGTTGATAATGCCTATCAGCGGCAAAGTAACATTATGCGGAAAAGCCAACTTTTAGTGGATGTGGAAGCCGTAGGCACATTTACACTGTTTATCAACTCTGTAGCTATTACATCGTCATTAAGGAATCGTCCGTAAAGTACGTACGCTCATAGTGGGGATTTTAAATTTTTTTTTTTTTTTTTTTTTTTTTTTTTAATTTTTTTATTCTTTATTACAATCATTACTACAATTTCTATTATAACTTGTGAATAAAACGTAAGACATAAAAAAAAAAGAAATAAATAATATTTACAATAAAGATTTCGTTAACAATAGAAATATGACAATAAATATAACAATAAAAATTAGGAATAAAGAATGCGGAAACTCGAAGAAGTCCTTGAGGTCTTGTCGTAGAGAACCGCTGGAATCAAAACGCTTTAAATGAATTCATTTTTATTGATTTTTTGTAAATGTTTATTAGCTTTTGGATTGGATCTGTTCCGATAAATAATTATATAAACCGTTGCATAGAATAGTTAAAAATAATATACTTCAGTATAATTATCGATGTGTTTGATGACGTCATAGTGTGTTGGTGATGTTAATATAAATCGAATAGATTAAAAAAAAAAAAAATAATTGAATTGAACATTTCTTGCATTAAAATTGTAGAAAATAAAATCAGAGTGGGGTTCTTGAATTCTTGTTGATAATTAGCTCTTGTTCTAATATAGTTTTTTTTTTTTAAGTATATATTGTGTTTGCATCTTTATCATACAAGCGATCATAGGTGGTATCACCGAATCCCAATCCAGCCCAACGATTGCCAAGCAGTTATAGTTGGGTGTTCCTACGCCAGAGGTTATGATGCACTATTCTTTATTTATTTTTTTTATTTTTTTTTTAATATACATAGACTGCAAGCACACACACACACCCATACTAACAGCACATATACACCCATACACCCATATATATACCAATATACATACATAAATACATACATACACAGATACACATACGCATTTATACATAATTTATTGATTTTATTTTATTTTTATTTTTTTTTTTATTTATTTTTTACTTATCACTGCTTTTAATTATCACTGCTCCTACGATAATATTATTTGATGTTTGTACACCGTATACAACAATATCTTTAAAATTTTACTTTTTTCTGACACTTACATTTTATTTGTTTTAACATTCATTCAGATACACTTCAATAATCTAAAGTTTCATATTATTTATTACATCTGTGTATTACATTTTCACTTTATTTAGGGGGGTGCATATGTAGAAGTTACTCACGTCTAATGAGGCTGTGAGCGGCTCAAACTAATTGCGTGCAAGTAGCATGGAAATTTTTTGTGGTCTTCTGACTTATGTACTATGTAGATAGCCTTCAAAAGAAAATTAAAAGGTTCAAATATTTAAATATTAAACAATTTATAACAGTAAAAAAAGATTTGGGAATGCCCTTAAATTGTTCAATAAAAAACAAAAATTACACCTCTCAAAACTGAGAAATGCTTGTGTATAGCGATTTGAAAAAAAGTATTATTAACTTCATTTAGGTTGCCAAGTGGTCAAAACCAACATTCCCAGTGGGAAAAAAGACGTCGAAAAGACGTCTTTAAAAGTCTTAATTTCGATGTCTTTAAGACGTCTTTTTTTAGCCGATTATGCAAATCTTAAAGACATCTTTTTTCGACATCGAAAAGGCGTCTTTTTTATCTTAATCTTGTCATAAAAAGATATAAAAAATGCGTCTTTAAGACGTCTTTGTTACTCAATTATGCACATCTAAAAAAAATTTTTCTCGGCGTCGGAAAGACTTTTTTGTCATACTTATTAGTATACTATAGTATCCTATACACTATAGTGTTCCTGCTTTTCATATATGAAAAGCTGTTTCTATTAAATGAAAATGATATTAGCTATTTATACAAAATATGACAAAAAGCTCATTTCGACGTCGAGAAAAAAAACTCTTTTAGATGTCAATATAAAAAAGGAAGCATTTTCTATATTTTTTATATGTTTAAACATAGAAAAACAATTTATAAATAAAACAGCAGTTTTGTTCAACAGAATATTTTTTCATCTTTCTCATTCTCCTCTGTTTCTTGAGCGAGCTCTGTTTCTAGGCGTTGTTGAATAAAATTAACTATTTCATGTCGAGAACTCCTTTCATAAGAGCTGGCTACGACTTCTAAAAAATGAACATAAAAAACAGTCTCTTGTTTTACTGTAATACAAAAAAGCAAATGACTTTTGATTATCTGAGTGAAACAAAAGACTTACTAACTAATTCAAAAATGGGCTGATTCTTTCAACCCTTTTTGTTTCCCTTGCGGTCCTTTCTTTTTGTCCCCACTTGGTTAAATTGGGACAGTAGTCAATCGGTAAGCCGTCTAAAAATATGTAAAAGGGAGTATGCTAAATAAATTGACAATGTATTTTATTATGTAGTACTTAAACCAAGCTAAAGATTTGCACCTCTCAGATTTGCCATGAAAACCAAGTTATCAAAAACAGATATTGATATTTTACTGACTTCTATGATATGACTTTTTAATTTAAACAAAAAGATAATTCAGCTAATTAACTTTTCATTTTTAGTTTCGTTAAAAGAAAAAAATTAAGAGAATGTTAAAAAAAACGTCTGAGCAAATTTTTTTTGATTAAAACTAGTTAATAAATGTATAACAAGAAAAACAAATCTTGTTGTTTTAGTCGAAGCTCGTCTTCTCCGTTTTCTCTGGTATTTTGAGTATGTAAAATAAACGCGATTTTCCAGGCGCATTATACAGACTTGATAATTTATTCAAGCGCGTTTAATTGATAGGAGTTTTAGAGCATGACGTCATAGATTTTTTTTGTTTGTTTAAAACACCGATTGTTATTTTTTACATACAATTTCCAAATCATATTCATTTTTATTATATTTTGAAGTTCTAAAATGCGTTTGTAAAACAAAATTAAAAACAAAATAAAATTAAAAACAAAATAAAATTAAAATCAAAATAAAATTAAAAACAAAAATAAAATAAAAAACAAAATAGTATTTTATTTGCGCAACTTTTTTTAAATAATCGTCTAGACCACGTGTATTTTGATTTCTTTTGTTCTTCCAAAATATTAGATAAAATAATTTTTAACATAAATAATAATGCAATTTTATTAATTTACTTTGTAAATATTAAAAAAAAATTATTAACGCATTTTTTCTCTGATTTTCAAAAATGTATTTTTTGGTATTGAGGTGATCTTATTTCATTATTTATATTTCCATTATAACATCCAATATATATTATGGCGGGGGCTTATAAATTATAAAATTAATATATATTAATTTTTATTTTACAGGCTACATGGAAACATAATTAACTTGAATGTTCTTAAAACATCTTGCGGAAGAATAAAAAAAACATTCGCGGGTAGGTACAATCGGCGGGGCGGGGCGGATCAGCAGGGCGGATCATTTTAACGGTACAAACGGCGGGGCGGATAATTTAAACGTTGCTAACGCAAGTCATACTTCATTAAATAAAATTAAAAAAACTTTTTTAATTTTTCTTTTATTAGATAAGTATTTTTTATAGATTTAGATATAGTTTAAGTTCATTAAAGAAATAATATTTAAAAGGTATTTGCAAATTATAATTTTAATAAACTACGAAAAAGTTTGGCGGATCACGTTGTTCTACCAAGAAACAACGTGATCCGCCAAACTTTATGATGTGGTCAGCTTAATATTTTGATTGCATATATCAAACTCTTTAAGTTTTAATGATTGTTCTACCAAAATACAACGTGATCCGCCAATTTATATCAAGTTATTCGCCAAACTTTACAAAGTGATCCGCCTAACTTTACAAAGTGATCCGCCTAATATTTCGATCGATTAAATCAAACTCTTAAAGTTTTAATAATTTTCCTACCAAAATATAACGTGATCCGCCACTTATATCAAGTGATCCACCA